TGCGGGTAGCCCGATCGGATCCGGGAAGTCACATTAGGGCTACCGGAGCGACCCACTGTAAAAATAGCGGAAATTTTAAAACTTTTATTGAAACATGTAACTTATAAAATCAGTTGTCACTATTTAAAAATAAAACAGATTTCCAGACTCGTATATAAATCAAAATACAATTACATGCCCCCTAATCACATGTACCATACTCTGCAACAACACCGGAAGAACTCCCTTACTGAAGTCGATAGATGCACTGGTACAATTCTTTTAACCTGAAAAGGTGAGTAATAGAGTGAGCTTTGGAAAGCTCAGTAATACAGAACTACCAGATGATGCTGAAAAACGTGCAGATACAGATAAACATATTTTCCTTATTGGTTTAGATATTTACAGATTTTTATGTTGAGCAGAGATCCTACTGATATTTCAGGTGGTAACGGACAATGAGCTTTCGTTTCAGAGAAATATTTCGGATGACTGAGTTCAGGAGATCAGAATAGGTTTTCTAGTGTGTTCCCAAAAAACCATGTAACTTTTCAGATCTTTTTAAAACATATATATATATACCCCCATCCGTCACGAACAAAATGTGTAGGTTCCCCAGAACCATACAACCCCGTCACTAACAGTAAGGCCCTGAGCACACAGCTGAGGAACCGGTAAGTAAGGCCCTGAGCACACAGCCGAGGAACCTCCAAGTAATCTTCCTCCAACAATACCCCCCAATAAAACATGTTCCGTCCGTAAACGGATATATCAAAAATCAAAACATAATTCAAGTCAAGTATCATATCAGAATCCAGGTCATGTATCAGATCAGAATCAATGTCAATATCAGATCAGAATCCAGGTCAGGATCATAATAGAATTCAAGTCGAAAATCAGATAAAATATTTATATGATTAGGGAACACACCAGAGTTTACAGATATTATTCAGAGGTATTGGATAATTTTAACAGGTAGAGAAACATGAATATTCAGTATACCGATAGGATATCGGAATTTAGAATCACTATTTGAAAGAGTTCATTAACTGACAGAATCATCAGTTATTCAGAATGTGAATTATCAGGATATTATCTTATTCGGACAGTTTTCAGAAGCTGTACGTAATCAGAAGGGTATTCAGAATCCTTTACATCCATGTCGATTGATCGGATAATCGAACAACTTGAGAACGAAGATTCAGAACCTTAACAATCTATGTCGACTGGTCAATTCATTTTCCTTATAGGGTATTTACTCTTTAATACCACAAATTCTTGTCCGTAGACCATTTTCGGAATTATCGCTGAATAAATCTTCCAATGACTTTATTTCATTTACACGCTTCCACAATATCATGAAATGTTGACGTACTTGATTAATTTGTTCATAACCCATTGTAATTGTACACTACGTAAACTCATCAGAGTTTCCAGACTTATCCAAATCACTTACTAAATCCTCAGTCATTGAGGTTACCTATTTCATTTAGCAGTCATCTCCATTCCAGTTACTTCAGAATTTTCCAGAGTAATTCAAACGTTCCTGAATTTCAGATACATGTTGTACTTCTATCCCATTCAATTTGGTCTTCGTGGTTGATTGTTGAACAAACGTCCAATTCTTAGTACTGAATACGATCTAGATCTGAGCTGAACTGAATACTTCCAAGATTCGTCATCGAGCCAAACTTGAGAAGACGAACATATGTTCCAGTAATATCTATGCCATTCAGGTATTGACATAGCTTTAGGTTTGATCTACTCACTTAAATTATTTTCCATTACCTTCAAAGGTAGTCCAATACCTATGCTTACTTGGATTCCTTAATTAATCCAAGACATTTACTTAATTTAGGCCATAAGGGCATTTTGGTAATTTTGATGTTTAGTTTTGTTCCATTCATTTCAGAACTCGAGGATATTCAATCATTCCTGAGCTTGGTGATATTCTTGGGTCATTTCCATTACAGGGGTATTTTGGTCATTTTACAGATCTACGGTATTTCAATATTTTCCTTCCATCCGATCTTATTATTTAATTCAATCTTATCATTTACTTCAGTCCTTTCGAACAATTCTGACAGCAGAATACCCCCGATAAATTACTCTTCCAGTATTTACTCATTATTCGAATATTTTCAGGTCAAGTGTCTTCTCAGACTTTACAAACGGAATATCATAAATTTTCCTGCACTAAGTCGGGATCTTAACAATTAAATCCGTACTTAATCGAGTTAAGTACGAATCCTCTAAGTATTTTCTCATTCAGAGTCATCTCAGACTATTCTACCTCTTAAGGCATTTCCGTAATTTCTTAACCAGATAAGTTCGATATTAGCTCTTAACGAAAATAATATAATTTAGAGATCCTAGGATTAATTGCTTTCTTGAACAATCTCTGATCTTGAAATAATTCCCTTAACACACTTCTAGTATCTTGCATAAACCTTATTGGGGTTAAAAACCGGTTCTCCATAATTTCCAAGTAAAACTAACATTTCTTATGCACATCAATAGTTCTAGCAGATCAATAATTCTTTTCAGATTTATTAATCCACTTCCAGAGACAATTCTTATCATTTTCCAACATAAGGGTAATTTCATAATTTTCCCTAATCGAAATATTCTCTTAATTTATCATCTAAGTACCTTTAATGAGATAAATTATAATCTACAATCCATGGTTAATTCTTTTATTACTTAATTCCAGAACTTGTAATTTAATTCAAACCGTCCTTCAATTTCTTATAATAGTCATCTGAGCCATATTCAGTTATCTACTTTCTACCGTATTCGTACCTAGTGTAGATCTTCATTAATTACACATATGAGACCAAACATTTCCATTCATGCATTTATCAATACCAACATGTTCCATAAAGCATAAAGAGGTAGTAAAGTATTACCTCAATTTCTGTGCACTATTGATCAACCATAAAAATTCCATTCGAACATCTTTGATCTTCAATTCAACTTCCAATAATTCCTCAGATACATATAAACATAAATTATATCAGAAACGGAACTTAATTACGATAAACGGATCGAATCGGGTGATAAATTAGTGAAAGATGGCTTACCGGGTTCGAATTTGGCAAAACGGACTTCGGATTCGGATTCAGGACGTCGAAAGCATAAAATATGACTGTTCAGAAATTTGGAATTTTCGGTCAAAATCAAAGTCAACGGGTTTGACCGGCAATTTCGAGACTTTCGGGTTTGAATTTCGAAAAACGGACAACGGAATCGGATTTGGAACGTCGAAAAATGTCAGGATAGGTATACTCGGTTGAAGTCAAAGGTCGTTTAATGCCCGATCAAAGCCGGTCAAAGTTTTGGTCAACAGTGGTCAATGAGGGTCAACGGTCAACGGGTCAACGGTCAACAGGTCAACGGGTCGGTCGGGTCAACAGGTCGGGTCAACGGGTCGGGTCGGGTTGTGACCGGCCAAACCGGTCAAAACAGTTCCAAAACCGGTCAAACCGGTCACCTTTTCTTTCCCCACGCGCAGTGGCGGAGCGTGGGGGCGCGTGAACAGTGCTAAAATCCCGGAAAAATTTCTAAAAATTATTTTGAGCGATTTCGAGATACTTACAAAGCTCGGTTCACAATTTTGAACGGCGGAGAGCTCGATTTCAACGAATCGGAAACTTTGACCGCTTCACCTCCTCACGCGCCGCCGTGGACGGAGACCAAGGATGACACCGGCAAACTCGGAACGATGCAACGATCACGATGGTGCAGGAGGTGTCGTAAACGGATGACCCGATCGTCGTGAATCGATGAAAAACCAACTAAAACCGAGTTATTACCGACGATACTTCCGACTGAAATTCACGACGAACGGTGATGATTCACGACGAAAGGTTTGAGGGGTTTTGTTCCTCGGTTGACAACGAACGCGATGGTGGTTTTGGCTCGTCGTTTGGAGGTCGGACGGCGAATAGATCGGAGTTCGAAGTAGCGAGAACGGGAGAGGAAAACTGGTAAATTTTCAAGAAACATACGGAGTCTGGGGGTTTATAACATCTCATAATTAAAAATGGCTAAACCAAGAGTTTAGCCACTGAACTTCCTGCACTTCTTAAAACGGTCTGCCATCTTTGAAATCTTACAATTTAATCCCCAAATTTCTTCCAAATACCAATTAAATTCACCATTTTATAATTTCTTAAATTTAGCCCCTAAATTGGGGTGTTACAAAATTCTTAAGAAACAAAATCTTTTTTGAATTTACTATAGACTATCGCAACGAATTTGGAAAATCGTAACGACACTGTAGACTATCGCAACGCGAAATGGAAAATCGCAACGACACTGTACACGATCGCAATGCGAGATGGAAAATCGCAATGACACTGTACACTATAGTAACGCGAAATGGAAAATCGCAACGATCGCAATGACTGTACACTATCGCAACGCGAAATGGAAAATCGCAACGACACTGTAGACTATCGCAACACGAAATGGAAAATCGCAACGATACTGTAGACTATCGCAACGACACTGTAGACTATCGCAACGCGAAATGCAACGCCAATTTGCGATACTGAAAATCGCGTTGCGAATTAGAGATCGCATTGCGATTTTGTTGGTCATTTTGGCAAATCCAAAAAAAGTTGGTTAAAATCGTATATTATAAGGCATTTTTGGTCACTGAGGCGATTTTCTCTTTTTTTTAAGTGTTTGTGAAGTGTTTTTAAAAAAAATATATAATTAGAAAAGAAAGAGCAAGACTTTACCCAATATATTATTAATTTAGCAACCATGACAAACAATTATATTAATTTGGATTTACTAATAAACTGTATTACATTAAAATAAATTGATTAGAGTTTTAATTATAAAACAATAAAGGGACTAAAACTAAAAATATACAACATATTTCTCGGGCCAATTGGGTGGTCCAGAGTTCCAAAGTCCAAACCCAGTATGAGGAATGTCAAATTTTAAAAAAAAAGGGTATTATATTTACATAAACATTATTCATGAAAATCGTCGAAAGCCAAGGAAGAACTTGAACCACTGTACAACACCAATGTTTTGATTTTTTATTTTCTTTTTTGTACCTTTTTTTTCTTCTGTTTGTGTCTGTTTTTTTCCAACAACATTAGGTTCAACCACCCATATCTCGAATCTCTCACCGTCTCTTCCCCTGAATCGACTCAGGACAACCCCAATGAACGATCCCGAGCGAGTCAAAACCAACGATGATCCGTTTCTCCGGCAGTACCAGCCCTCCGAACTCAGAATAGCCTCTGAGTTCTTGACCACATGGCTCCCTTTCCTTTCAAGAGATCTCTGCCATCGATGCACCCGAAGACTCTCCCAACGAATCCGCTCTCTCGACCCAGGTTCTCTCCCTTTTGTAATTGTTAATGAAAATTCAGTTTCCACGGCACGCCATATTTCAGTTTTAAGTAGTTGTTTTTCCCTTGTAAAATTTTTTGCACTCGATATGCTTGCTTGCCATTCTTCTTCTTTCGGTAATACAAATATCTATTTTTGGCTGAAATTAGCGGTTTGTATTTAGATTGTGTTTTTGGTCTGGAAAAAAGATGTTATTTTTGCTAGTTGTCATTTATATTTGGGATTCTAGTAAAGAAATAGAAACAGGAATTATTCATTCTTTGTTGTACTTCACCTTAAACTCTGTGTATATATGAGGGAGAATTCTACTGTTTGTGTTTGCTAATAAGACGATGGATTTTGTTGCTCTTTTAGTTAATGCTTAATATAGCATTTATAGTAATAATTTTTCGCATAATGGACATGATTTCTAATGCATTCTATGAAGATATTATTTTCTATAGTAACATTGCTTTTAGTATACTGGTTAACAAAGTACTGTGTTTTAATTTGGAATTGTAGAACTTGAAGGAAGTGAAGAGCTGGCCGACACAGATTCAAATGCATACCTTTCTAGTCCCAGAAATACTTTGCATGGGAATTATCTTAAAAATTATGATGCAAATTCGGTTAGAAGTTCAAAAGATGAAGAAGATACAAACTCCTTGGGTAGTTGGAAGTTTGAGGCAAATGGGTCTCAAGAACCTGTTAGAGAAGCATCCACTAGTGATGGGGTTGCCAGTAGGTCGCTTTTGGTTAGAACTCGGGCTCCCCGTCAATCATGGGCAGACATGGCCCAGGAAGATGAGTTTGAGGAAGTAGAAGATGAAGAAGAGGGACAGCAGTCAGAGTTGAGGAAGCGAGTTGCTAATTTAACTACTTCCACTGGGGAGTTGAGGATATCCAAGGTTGTTGAGAAGCCTAAATTGTCTAGGGATCAGAGAGAGTATATAAGGTTTATGAATGTGAAGAGAAAGAAAGATTTTGTATGTTTCGAGAGAGTTAAGGGGAAGATGGTTAACATTCTCAAGGGTCTTGAACTTCACATGGGGATTTTTAGTGCTGCAGAGCAGAAGAGGATAGTCGACCATGTTTATAAGCTTGAGGAGATGGGGAGAAATGGAGAGTTGAAAGGTTAGTATTTACATTATCAAACTTGTTGGTACACTTGAACGCTTCGTGTGTGCTTATAGTTATGCGATAAAAAATAAACATCTTTGGTGCTCTTTTTCCTGTTTTGCAATACCGAACTTAGATTCGGTTATCTTTTTGAATCATTGGTTACTGGGGTTTTTCTTTTGATATCAAGCTAAGATGTAGCTGAGTTTCTAACTTAACACTGTTCCTGATAACGGATTTTTGTGTTATCTTTCCATTTAACACTTTTTTGTGTTGCTTCCTTGCTTTATACCTCTAATGGCGTTAATAAACTGAAAAGAGTAGAATATGCAAGTGTGTCTCTAGTTTTTTTTTAGTTCATTTTGGAAGCATTATGCGGTTTGTGTCTTCAGAAATAAGTTTTGTTGCTTTCTGTTGTCCTTGTTAGAAATGCATGCAAGATATATCCACATGTCGTTGCATTCTACAGTTTCACATATCATGCATACATTATGCATCACACCAAGTAATTGAATTTGAAAATATTTTGCAGAACGTACATTTACAGCAGCCCAAAAGTGGATGAGAGGAAAAGGACGTATAACCATCCAATTTGGTTGCTGCTACAATTATGCAATGGTATGTTTTACCATATCCTTGTTTTGATTAGTGAAGTGGCTAGAGACACTGTAGTCACAAGAAGTAGTAGCTCGAGGTTGAACTTGCTTTATCATGTTTACCTTGTGGTGGCAGGACAAAAATGGTAACCCGCCTGGCATTCTTCAAAACGAAGCTGTAGATCCTATACCCAATCTCTTCAAGGTGATCATTAGAAGGCTGATCAGATGGCATGTGCTTCCTCCTACTTGTGTGCCCGACAGTTGTATTGTAAATATTTATGAAGAAGGCGACTGCATTCCTCCACACATTGACAACCATGATTTTGTTAGACCATTTTGTACTGTTTCGTTTCTTAGTGAGTGCGATATCGTTTTTGGGTCAAACCTGAAGGTTGTGGGGGCCGGCGAGTTTTCTGGTTCATTCGCAATTCCCTTACCTATGGGGTAAGATTCTTTCCATGCACTGATTAGTCCTCTGTATCGAGTCATGTAATTATTTGAGTTAAAAGTTCAAATCAGTTATTTCTTCTTTCAGATCAGTTCTGGTTATAAATGGAAACGGGGCAGACGTTGCTAAACACTGTGTGCCAGCAGTTCCTACAAAGAGGTACACAGTTATTTTTCACTTTTTTTGCTTTATGATTTATGTTGAAACTTTTTGTTGTGTTGCTTCTCTTAGGATATCAATCACATTTCGGCGAATGGATGAATCGAAACGACCAGTTGGATATACTCAAGAACCCGACTTGCAAGGAATCGAATCACTGTGTTACGACGAGGAGAAATCAAAGAGGTTAATCTCTTCACCTAAATCTGAACCATATGTAAGAAGGCAACCACTTAGAAGAGAGGGTAGAAAAGAGGGCAGGGGGTCAACAACCGAGAGGAACGAGCGATGGGAGCCCCGATCCTCGATCTGGAAACAAATAGGTCCCGGAATTAGGAGGATCATCGTGAACGAGGAAAGGGGGTAATAAATTTTTGACGGATTGCATTGGTGGGTAGTTTTCATGTACTTTGTTTTTACTGAAGTAATTTGGATATTAGTTAAATCAGTTGTAGTATTATTTGATATATGATCAAACATGGTCATCATTAAACTGATCTGTAAATTTCAAACTGAGACATCGGCTAATGATGGTGAAGATGAATAATATTGAGATTTGCTTGCAGCTTTTGCCATCAAAATCATTGGGAATGAAAGCTTGAGCTTCCAGACCACCCCCAAATTCCATCCCTGCTACAATCCAAATCCAAATATATATATTCTCACACACACATGAGGGAACATCCATATTTTGCCCACAATTTGGACTTGGAAAACGATTAATATTATAAACATAAAATTACAGGTGTGAATGTTTTATGGAAAATATTTATTTGTATAAAATTAATATATATATTTTATGGAAAATATTTATTTGTGTAAAATTAATATATATATATACACTCCACTTGTGATAGTGACAATATAGTCTGAACAAATTGCTGGTGTAACAAATTTGGAGCAAATAATGTACAGATGTCCAAGAGGCTGAACCTTACTAGTTCACCGACTAAAACAACGAAACAAGGTGGCCCATGGGCTTTGGCTCACCTGGTTTCATGGGACAATAGTCCCTTCGGTCCTTTCAATTAATAATAATTTAATTTAAATTCTTTTAAAATAAAATTCTTAATTTTAATTTTTGTATGTCAGTCATCTAACATCAAATTCATACATTTCCCCCGATAAAGATGCCGGAATGACTCGACCTGTTTAGATTTATGCGATCTATGGTATAAAAATACAAGTCAGAATTATCTTCTTTGAATCTTATAAATCTCATAATTTTTTTATTTTTAAATGCGTCTAAAAATTCAATCTCATATCACACACGTAAGTGTAATGCATGCATAACAAACATCAATTGTTTTATGTCACGAGTAAAAGTTGAAATTATCCTTTTTCTTTTGTCACGGTAAGCTATGTATACAAAGATTTACTCTCATATCGCACTATACATGTATGAGTACACTTGATATATAATGTGTATAATGTAATATGAGATTGAATCTCTAAATTTATGCATGAGATAAATTCAAAACATAATATTTTTTATTTATATTTTTATGATTCAACCCGTATTTTTAGACTGATCAATTAGATAGTGTCAAAAGATATAATTCATACCAATAGGGACGAAGCTATGTTTAGTTTTAGGGCTATTATCCATCCATCCTTTATTATTAAAAAAATGTATATAAATAAATATTTACTTAGATACTTTAATTTTAATTTTAATTTATTTTACTTTTATCTTTTTATTTTTCCATTGTTTAATATATTTTATCTTTCTTAAACTGAGTCTAATGTCCATGCATGTTAAATTCAAGTTAGACCCAGAAAGATGGAAAAGAAATGCATTGAGGAACCAACCTTCTTTGTTGTGGGTTCATAATTTAAAGCAACTTTAATCATAATCTAAACCCCTCACATCCAGATGTTGTATCTATAACTATATAAATAACATACACGTGTCATTTTCCAAAGCCAGATGCAATGAACCAACAATTAAACAACCAAAACTCCAACCTAGACCAAACTTCAAACACGAAAACAACCTGTTCACCGGTAGTGTTAGGGATTCAGTCAAAACACAAATAGTTAAAAACAAGATGTGGTCCTAACCCAAGTAAAACCCTGATTGGGTTCACCCTAGAAACCATAAACATATTAAGACACTCTCTTATCAAAACTTCAGTGTCTATCATCTATTCTTAGTAAGTTTTGTTGAAGCTCTAAATGCATTTACGCTCAACTTTCACAGTTAAAATGATGAGAATGGTAAAAAAAAGAAAGATTGTGGCTAGGGTTTGCCTTACACTATGCTAATTGGCAGAGAAGCTATAACGATTGACGAGAGAATAAATAGATAGAGAAAGATGAGATACGGGATGATATTGTGACAGAATACATTTATCGGATAGAGCAAAATCGTAACTGGTAATTTGAGAAAATAAAAATGAAGATAAAAAAGACACAAATTTTACGTGGAAAACCCCTAAATAATATAGGGTAAAAACCACGTGCAAAGGTAAAAAAAAAATTCACTATGAGAAAATAGGAATTACAACTTCTCTCAATCTAACAAGGAGAAAACAATGACAATTCTCTCTTGATAAAAAGGAGAAAACAAGTCTCAAGAAAACTATCTAATTTCTCTAGTATTGGGAGAAAGCTAGAATGATTTGGGATGATTTTGAAGCTAAATATGTTAGAGCATTTATAGTTGAAGCTTAAGAACTAATCTTGTAAATACCCTAAAGTACAGGGACTAAATGTGCAATTTTCCCATGCCATTTTTTCAACAAAATCAGTCGTGAATCTTGAAAATAAATTTTACAGTAAAATTGGACCATTAATTGCTGAAAATTTTGACTTTCAACAATCTCCCACTTGAAGATTTGATTGAAACAATCATATCTTCACACCATTCTTTCTACATTGTACCATTCATGTTGCTTATGTTTCTGATAGACCACAAGAGGATCGACACCAAGTAAATTTATCAGTATTGACCACCTTCATCATGAAATATGCTATCTTGTATTTGGTATGGATTTTCTGCATATCTACAGTCTATTTTTCCATATTTTCACGAATGAAATGATACTAAACTCGTATGCGTTTTGTCCTTGAATGAAATGTTGGATTCATTGCTAGATGCAAGGCACTTTGACTGTCACAAAACATAGAGACATACTCTTGATTGTGATCAAGCTCCTCCAATAGCATCTTTAACTATATTGTTTCTTTACCGGCTTGTGTAACTGCTACATATTCTGCCTTTGTTGTTGACATAGCCACAACTAACTGCAATTTGGAAACCCAGCTTATAGCTCCACCAGCAACTTTGAACACATATCTTGTAGTAGATTTGCTTTTATCCAAATCCTTTGTATAGTCAGAATCGACATACCCATTGATAAGTAAGTTTGATCCTCCGTAACATAGTGCAATATTTGAGGTCCCTTTGATGTATCTCAAGATTCTCTTTACTGTATTCCAATGCTTTTTGCCTGGATTCGTCATGTACCGACTAACCACTCCCACTGCTTGTGCAATGCCTGGTCTTGTGCATATCATAACAAACATTAAACTTCACACTACCGATGCATATGGTACTCGAGACATCTCCATTATCTGTTATTAACTGCTAGGACTCATACTGAATGATAATTTGAAGTTAATAGGAAGAGGGATATAAATTGGCTTACAATCATGCATATTGAATCGTGACAAGATCTTCTTCAAGTAATTATTTTTGTGAAAGTCAATCTTCATATTACTTACGTCTTGGTGAATTTGCATCCCTAAAATCTTATTTGTTGATCCCAAGTCCTTCATTTAAAATTCCCTAGCCTGTTGTGCCTTCAATTCTTCAATATGACATTTTGCTGGGTCTTGCAACCAACATGTCATCCACATACAATAACAATATAACAAAATCGTTATCATCAAACCTCTTAAAATAAACACAAGGGTCTACATTAAGTTTGTTGTATCCAAGGCACATAATGAAGGAATCAAATCTGTTATATCAACACCTCGGCGCCTGCTTTAGACCGTACAGAGATTTGTTCAACCTACAAACCAAGTTATTCTTTTCTTTTTTCTTTAAAACCTTCAGGCTGGAGCATGTAAATCTCTTCTTTAAGATTTCCATGAAAAAAAGATGTTTTAACATCTAGCTGCTCTAGATGTAAGTTCAATATAGCACGCATTACCAAGACTACCCGAACTGTTGTTAGTCGAACCACAAGAGAAAAGATTTCAATGAAATCAATACATTCTTTTTTAGCATATCCTTTGACCATTAGTCTTGTACGATACCTCTCAACTTGACCGTTACCATTTCGCTTGATTTTGAAGACCCATTTGTTACCAATTGACTTTGTTGAGTTAATCAATTGACGAAATAGCCAAGAGGGGGTGAATTGACAATTAAAATTTTGGTGGAAGTTTTTACAGAAAATAGAAAATATTTGCACAACGATTTAGAGTGGTTTGATTTTCTCAACCAAAGTCTATGTCCACTACCTTAGTTATTCAGACTAAGGATTTTCCTACAAATTCACTGATTTATTCTTTCTTTTGAGGACAAAGAGTAACCTTGCAACTTTCTCAAGAATTATACCCCAAATTCTTGAGAACACTCTCTCCCAAAGAGAAATACAAATTTCACAAATTTACAGAAAAACCTTTCAAGGCAATATGTTTGCACAATTCTAGAACAAAGAAAGAACACTCAAAGATGAATACAATTGAGCACAAAAAGTGTTCTTGAAAGCAAAATGAATATTGAATGAAAATGGGCTTGAAATGCTCAAACTTGAGGTTTGATACTTTCTCTTTGATTCTCTAGCTTCTCTTCTTAATTGTTGTTTATCAATGAATCCTCAGCTTGTTTAAATACACCTTGAATCACTTTTGAACGTTGGGGATCATTGGTGAAGTCAATAGAGCCGTTATAGTGTGAAAACCATTAAATAAAACAGTTGAGAGCGTGTGTGTATCGGTACACTCTCAAGGGTGTATCGGTACACTGTGTGTAAAATTCAAATATTTCGACCGTTATATGACCTAGTGTATTGATACACGCCATTTGTATCGGTACACTATTTACATTCGATGTTTCTAAAGAGCCAGGAGTGTATTGATGCATTGTCTGTGCATTGGTACGTAAAATGCATTTGATGTTTTAATAAAACAAGGAGTGTATCGATGCATTCAAAATTGTATCGGTACATACTTTTTAAAATTAATTTTTGGCTCGATTAAGGTTCGAAATACTTGGTAAAAATTGTTTAAAAAATATTTTAAGTTTAAAACACAATTTTACACTTTAGTAAGGATTGAAATTGACCTTAGAAAAACTTGGAGTAATATTTGTGATATTCGAATAATTTAATCGAGTATACTTTTTAAATGATTATAAAATCTTAAAATTCAATAACACTTAATTTGTTATGTCAAAACAACAAAATAT